AAAAGGGAGGGGGCATAGATTAGCAAGGATGGTGGACTCTGATAGTCAATGTTATCCAAAGTACATGTATGAAGACATGAATTGGTGTGAATGTAATTTACATACAAACAGAGGTACGAAAAATTGTTCCATATGTGTAATAAAAATTGTGATGCCTTTTGCTGTCATGTATTTAAAAAATAAAACAAATTGAAAAACAAAACAAATATATACACACAGGGACACAAAGATTAACATGAGTACTGTGCAGCCTGACCTGAGATACGTGGAGAGAGACACTCCTGACTCCATAAGAGAACAGCATGGGATGATCTGAGGCAGAAGAGACCTCCAGATTCTCCATGATGAGATCCAGGGACACACTGATCACCTAGAGAGAAACCATCCACTCTCCTCTTCTGCTCTGAAGGGGGCACCTGAGCTGCTGTGTGCTGAGGGCCCCCTGCTGGCCCTGGGCACCCTGCAGGAGGTTTGTGTCTGGGCTCACACTGAGGTCCCCTCACTGTGTCTCTAGCACAGTAATAGGTGGCAGTGTCCTCAGCTCTCAGACTGCTCATTTGCAGGTACAGTGTGTTCTTGGAGTTCTCTCTGGAGATGGTGAATCGGCCCTTCACAGAGTTGGCATAATTTGTTGTACCACCACTTGGGTTAATTTCTCCAACCCACTCCAGCCCCTTCCCTGGAGCCTGGCGGACCCAGCTCATCCCATAGTCACTGAAGGTGAATCCAGAGGCTGCACAGGAGAGTTGCAGGGAACCCCCAGGCTGCACCAGGCCTCCCCCAGACTCCACCAGCTGCACCTCACACTGGACACCTGCAAACACAGAGGCAGCCTGGTCAGGACACTGGCACTCATCCACTCTGCCTCTCACTCCTGTCCACACACACACTCAGGATCTCTGGTTCTCCATTCATTACCTTTGAAAACAGCCACCAGGAAAACCCAGCTGAGCACACTCTCCATGGTGAGCAGCTGTGTTCAGTCCTGGTCACTGAGTGGGCTGAGCTGGGAGTCCAGGGCTGGGCTCCTGTGCAGAGCTGCAGGGTCAGGTGGGCTGGTTTTCATGAGCAGAGGGAGGCCCTATTTGCATGTCCTCCTGCTATATAGCAGCTCTGGGTGGAGGCCTCATAGAGGAGCATTTAGAGTAGAGTTGAGCATCAGGTGCAGTTAGGAGCACACAGCAGCATTTTGGAAATAAAACTGCTTTTGTGTATTTTTCTGCTTTGCCTACATCATCCATTAATGTGGTTTCCATATCTATATCATCATGACAGAGGGATCAGGATCAATTCCATGATGCAGTTGTGAAATCACACAGAAGCTTGAGTGGTGATCCACTGTGCCCAACAGCTCATATCTGGCAAGAGGGAGTTGAGAATTTAGGCTTCTGCTCTTACCCTGGACAGGTGTGGTCCCCTGAACCTCCTACAACTCACAGGTGGACACACATCATGAGGTCCTTAGAACCTGTTTTGTGGATGATCCACACTTGGTGGGAGCTGGGCTCACTCAGGCTGGAGCAGACTGTGGGCTGGACGATCTCAAGGGCACAGGTGAGGCCCTGGCGTGTGACCCCCTGACTGATGTCAGGCCATGTGCAGGACAGGGAGGGGCAGAGAGGGGCAGTGCAGGCAGAGCTGGTGTTTTGCACTTTGGCCAGGAGAGAAGCACACTTGTGGTGCTGCCCAGGAGCTGTGGCCAGGAGGGTGAACACAGGATGGACAGGAGGCCACCTCGCTGTGTGAATGTCCAGGAGTTTTAGAAGAGCAATGTGGATATGCAGTTTCTGTTGTGATTGACACAAGGTGATGCTCCTTGTCCCCAGGTGTCCTGACCCAGATGGAAGTCCTAGATCCAGGACTTGGATGAATAAAGGCATTGCACATGTGCCCCTCACCTGTGCTGTCTCTGGATCCTCATTACACATCTATGTGTGAGCTGGATCCACCAGGCTCCAGGGAACGGCCTGGAGTGGGTTAGAAGGATGGATGTTGGCTGAAGCAGACACCATTAACCGGGCCTTGAGTCCCTTACTGGTCATCAGTGCTCCCTGATGGTCCTGAGCTTATGCTGACAGAGCAGAGCAAAGGCCCTCAGGAGGCCATCCCCTGTGCCCTCCCTCTGCATGGCTGTGCACTCCTGCAGGGAACACCCCCTTTGTGTGGTGCTTTTTCTTAGGTGTCTTTGCCAATTGCAGCTGCTGGGGTTGGGACCTGCACTGGTATACAGTCAGCATCACCAGGGACACTTCCAAGAGTCAGGTTTCATTAGAACTCAATACGATGAAACCTGAGGATATGGCTCTGTATTCCAGGGGGAGACACCCAGTGAGGGAACTCAGTGTGAGCAGTCACTCACCTGCCTGCAGGGGTCGCTGAGGACCAGCAGGGAGCTGAGGACCAGCAGGGGACGCTGAGGACCAGCAGGGAGCTGAGGACCAGCAGGGGACGCTGAGGACCAGCAGGGGAATCTCAGAATCAGCAGGACACTTGGGGAGTTCAGGACAAGGAGGGGAAGCTCAGGTCCAGCTGGAGGCTCAGGACCACCAGGGGGCTCCAGACCAGTAGAAACCTCAGGAGCAGCTGCCACCTCAGGGCCATCAAGGGTCACTCTGGTCCAGGAGAAAGTCAAGAAACATCCAGAGGAGTGTTTGTATTAAGAGGCTAATCCTGTCATTTTAGATTGTAAAAACCAGCTGCACATCTTGGGGAGGCAGGAGCAGAAGTCCAGGTGCCTGAGCATGGCCTGTGGTCAGCTCAGGACACGTGGTCCACCCATCACCCCACACTCTCCCTCCTGGGAGGAGAGCCCTCCTGATCCCTCCTGCTGGCTCTGCTGGGTCTGCAGGGTGAGCGTGCTGCCCACAGCCACCCTCTGGGTGAGGACAGACAAGTGCTCCTCCGTCAGCCATGGCCATGTGCCTCTTGTCTCATCCCCTCCATGAACACCCAGTGTTCTTAGCATCAAAGGCAGACATTCTCTCTAGGATGGACAGGAGGCCACCCCGCTGTGTGTTCATCCTGTTATTTGCTAAATCGTGTATTTAGGTCAGGGTGAGCTCCATAGAGCTCATTTGTATCTTGTTGTGTTCTGCAGGTTATGGTCAATTTTCAAGCTTTATTCTGTGGTCCACATTCCAGCAAGGTCTGCCATCTCTTCATGTGCCCCTGCCCTGGTCAGGGTGCTGAGTCAACCAGGCCAGATTACAATCTCCAGGAAGGTGACCGAGTATTGGTTGTTCTGCGTGCGCATGGCATCCCATGATCACAGAATGGCAGTTATCAACAATACGAGTAATGACAGGTGCTGGAGGAAACCTGGGGAGAGGACCCTCACACCTTGTTGGTGGACAGCAGATGAGAACCACCATGAGGAGAGCAGGTGGAGACCCTCAGAACAACAGGGAGGAAGCCACCGTGGGACCCAGCTCTCCTGCTGCTTGGTATTTACCCCAAAGACCCAAGTCAGCACAGTGCAGGGACACGGCCACTGCAGGGTTTATACAGTGCCATTCCCAAGACCAGGTTATGCAACCAGCCCAGGTGCCCATCACTAGTGGATGGATAAAGGAAATGTGGGTCATGTACCAACACTGCAGCTCTGCTCAGCCAATAGGAGGAGTGAGATGATGCTGAGTGGACGGAGCTGGAGGACATTAGGGAAGAGGAATGAGAGAGGCTCAGGGAGTCAGGTGAGTGTTGGCTGTCCTCTGTGGGAGCTGCCACAAATAAGGAAGATAAAGGAAAGGGAACCCCAAGAGTATAGATCAGTGGGGATCAGGAGGTGACTAAGGGTGAGGGAGGAGGGACAGGAGAAGGGAGGGGCCAGGAGTGAGCTGAGCAGATATTATTGGTCAATTCTGCCCATGTGGGAGTCCTGCACCTGTGGGAGTGACCCACTGTGAGTTTCACACACACACACATATACACACAGTGTAAATTTACTGAAAATTGGAAGAAAGGTCAGTAGGATAAAAATGGGAAGTGGGAGGAAAATTAAAAAGGAGGTGCTGTGAGAGCAACAGAAGATTTATAGACAATGAATATATGTGACTATGTCAAAGTGAAAACCTATAATAAATATATGTAAGATGCACTATTTCAAAAGAAAAAGAACATGACAAAATCAGAATGAGTATCTTCAGACACATCAGAGATAAATAGAGACCACAAGGCCACAGAGACTCCCTGGGAAGCTGGTACATGGACAGGCCTCCAGATGGAGGAAACCTACCCCAACTCACATCTGCAGCTGCTTCTGGGCTGACCAGAGCTCCGGTGTGCAGAGCGCCCCCTGCTGTCCCTGGGTGAGCAGCAGGGAGGTTTGTGTCTGGGCTCACACTGAGGTCCCCTCACTGTGTCTCTGGCACAGTAATAGGTGGCTGTGTCCTCAGTGGTCAGGGAGCTCAGCTGCAGGGAGAACTGGTTCTTGGACGTGTCTCTGGAGACAGATACTCGGCTCTTGAGGGATGGGCTGTAGTAAGTGCTACCACTACTACATATGTACCCTATCCACTCCAGCCCCTTCCCTGGGGACTGACGGATCCAGCTCCACCAGTAATAACTGGTGATGGAGTAACCAGAGACAGCACAGGTGAGGGACAGGGTCTGTGAGGGCTTCACCAGGCCAGGTCCTGACTCCTGCAGCTGCACCTGGCACAGGAAACCTGGGGACAAGAACAGTCACACCCTGTTAGTCACTTGTAGTCACAACCTCCCCATGGATCCAGGTCTGACACTCACCTTGGGGAGCTGTGACCAGGCACAGGACAAGACCCAGCAGCCTCATCTTCTAGACCACACCTGCCTTCCCAGAGACCTCAGCCCTGTCTGAGCAGAGAGCTGGGAGCTCCCACAGCCCAGAGGGCATTTGAACCCAGGGCAGGAGGAGGGATTTGCATGTGGGTGAGGCTCTTCTGATATCTGGAGAGGCTGGGGTCAGGCTGCCCAGGTCCTCTGTGCTCCTGAGATGTGTCCCTGTCTTGAACCCAGGCGGAGCTTTACCTGTGAGAGGAGAGCAGGTGGTTTCAGGGGTGCTGGAAGGCTGTCAGAGGGGGAGCCCACCCTCCTGAGCCCAGCCCTGCCTCCTCCAAGCCCTTCCTCCCTGCACCTGGGAGGGTGTCAGAGTGGCAGGAATATGCCCAGCATGCAAGAGGCCCAGGTCCACCTCCCAGCCCTGAAGGAGAAGCCCTCAGTGATGACTGAGCAGAGCCCATGGCTGAGGATGGGGTTCCCCATATCGAGGAGAAGAGCCCCCTTTGTTCTCAGGACTAGTTCTTCTCTTTCATCTCTGTGAGATTTGGGGGCTGCAGACTGAGCAGGAGAGGAGGGAGCAGGGTCTCAGGAGGGGAGGGGCTTCCTGCTGTGTGCCCACTGCCCTCCCCCACCCTCTGCCCTGCTTGTCCTCCTGACTGTCCAGCCAATGCCTGTGGACAGCAGTGGGTGGGAATCTGCCCTGAGCTCCTCCCCTCACCTGTCCTGCCCTCTGGTCTCCACCAGGAGAGGACAGGATGGAGGTGCTGGGCCAGGTGGGAGTCCTGGGGGCAGAGGCAGCTCTCAGCTGCAGCCTGAGGCTGAGAGCCCCTGAGTGCCCCAGAGCAGCAGAGCCAGGCTGACAGCAGACAGGACGGCATGCAGGGCAGGCTGGGTGAGGGAGGAGGCCCAGTCCCCTTCCCTGTGCAGCATCCCTGCAGTGAGACCTGCCTTGCCCACAGCCCAGCATTTGGAGAGAACAGTGGACAGTGTCTTTAGTGAGGTGGGGTCACTGAGAGGGCAGGTGTAGTTGCTGACCTCCTGATGAGGTTCAGGAATTGACCTCCTGCCTAACTGAGTGAGCACAGCCCACTAATAAGACATGTGGCTCCTCTCCTTGTTCCCTGTGGTGTTGACCATGAGCTCCCTGCAAACACTGAGCCTGCAGCTCCCACCTCCTAGTCCTGGGGTGACCCAGGTATGTCCTTGCTGATCCCTATGATTTTGCCATCTGCACATGCATATGTCTCATTGTGTGTTGTTTCAAATTCCTAGCAAGTCATTTGATTTAGAAAGCTGTCCTTCCATGTGTACTAATGGAGAGATTTCTATATGCTTCCTCTTCCTACCTGGGGAAACTGAAGCCCCCTCTGTGATAGATTTTCCAACTTTTCTTGGGCCAGGGGTAACCCAGTGGGCTCCAGCAAGCCTGAACTGCATGTGGATGTGCTTCATGTAACTTGTCCTTCCACTGCATTGACCACCAGCCTCCCCAGAGACTTTCCATTCATTTCTGTGTTGATCAAGATTTCATGGATCCAACATCTTGGTCTCTTCAGTCTCCTCAATGACTTCCTCACCAATGACGCTTGTTTCTTTGGAACTTTCCTGAGTGACCTCTATCTCAGTTCAGATGATTACTCCTCCAGTTTATGGGTGATTCACCTGGTTGACCAACAAACTCAGGACCCATGGCCAAAATTGCTGTGAGTTATATTTAGAAGAAGATTTCCTGTAAGTCACTTGCTTCCTTTCTAAGCACATCCATCTTGCACCAGGGACAGACTTGGGGATCATTGCAAACACAACAATCACCATGCACAGACATGGCAGGGACTATGACCTTCCTTAGCTGCTCAGAAGAACTTGTATTCACAGCAGGAGACAGACACAAGAGGATTGGGATGGGGTGGAGAAACTCTTCTGGGAATTGGGCTGTGTGAGGGAATTACCTTCTCAGGCAGCTGAGGTCCATGAACAACTGAAAAATACAACAGCTTTGAATTTGAGGTTTGGCCTTGCTCCCAGGGCTGAGGAGGTGTGACGTGGCCTCCAGAGCTGGGACACTCTTGCTGTAGAAGTCTGGAGTGGGACAAACTGCACATTCTTTTTCATGTTCCTGTGGTGCACTGATGGTCACTCAGGTATAACCATCATGTGCACAGCTGAGAGTGTCTTGCACCTGAGTGTGTGGATCTGAGTGTGTGTTATTGTGTAAAGTGACCCAGAAATGCTAGGTGTGTTTGAGATTCCTCAATTCACCTCCTGCTGGAAACATAAGTAATTATACTTTTAATAACTTTACATTACTGCTTGAGGACATATGTTGTAAGTTAGTTGATTGTTAGCATTTTAACTTGGGGGCTATTATACATGAAGTTACTCTTGTTTGCAAGTTAATTTGGGGACCATGGAATTCAGTATTATGGCATTAACACAGCTCCATCCACTCCAGCCAGTCTTTATTATTCTTTTAACTTCACAGTTACCTATGCTATGCCCAGAATCATAACTGCAGAAACGTTCCTAGGAAGGGACTAAAGTCAGAGAGAAGTGAAAATCATGATGGGAACAGCCCAGGAGCATCAGTCAGAGCTCCTTTCAGAAGCAGAGAAATCATGGAAAGGCCCTGCCTGGGGTCCTAAGGGCCGGCTGGGGAGACCAGGATTCTTTAAGTTCTTCTCATCTCGGAGGGTTCCAGTTCATGTCTGTTAGACTTTAATTTTAGGTGTTGGGTTCTAGAGCTATATGTGAAAATTCACTGTCAGACTGAGGTATTCAAAGATCATTCTCTTTTCTCCTAAAAAACGTGGGTTTGTGCTTCAAATGTAAATCTGTAATCCAGTTATAGTTCAGGATTTTAAAAGATCTCTCCATTTTGTTGCAGTATAAGTTTTCAAAACACTTTCTAACTATCTCTGTATTTCAGACCTGGTGAGGGTGTGGAGCCTGTGGAGCAGTGACCAGGCCTGGTGCCCAGCTTCAGGGGGAGCCAGTGTGTGGTGGTGTCTCTTGTTCTGTGGTCATGGCCCCCAGGTGTGCACTTCTCCCCTCCCACCCCATCCTCCCTTCTCTGTTCTGGAGGCTGTTAGGAAACTCCATTTCCCACGTCCTCCCCATCTGAGCTGCTGCCAGGGAGGCCCAGGGAGTCCTGGGAAGCAGTAAGAGAGTAAGAGCTGCTGCTGCCTGTGAGCAGGCCTTCACTGCCTTTCCTCAAAATCATGATTGAAGACTCAAAAGTTCCACTATTTGTTGCAAATGAGCTTTCTCCTGTGAAGATGGCCTGCTTCATAGCCATGATTTAACCCAGAAATTCCCCAAGTAAAAGAAAACCACCTCATCTATTCCAAGATTTCTCTGATGCCCCATCCCAGGGCAGGTGATTCCCTATGACACCAAACACCTCCTAGAATCTCAAAGCTGGTACTGGCATTATCTTTGTATTTTTAGAATCATAACATTGATGTAACACAGGGATCTGAGGTTCACCTGCCACACCACAATCTCCAGGTCTGTGACTGAGCATCAGCTGGTGGTTCTGTGAGCACATGGCATCCCATGACCACAGATGCCCTCCATGTAGGAAGCTCACCCTACAGGGCCTGGCTGGGCAGCTGCAGTCAGAGGAGAGCTGCAGAGGACACAGTCCTGAGGCCCAGCCCCCACTCCTGCCTGAGTGTGTCAGGGTGGCCATGCAGACAGCCTGCCCAGCAGCACTCAGGTCCAGTCCACGTCCTCACCTGCCTTCCCCAGAGAGCTCACCCTGCCCACGGCTTCCCTTCTGCCCCTCTGCCCACAGCCATGATGCCACAGCCAACTACAGGACAGGGGGATGGCCAGGTCCCACCAGGTCTGCCAAGACTGCACCTGGGAGAAGTAAACAGCAGGCACAGAGACATGGCAGGATGCACTGATGGTGACTAACAATGAATGGAGGAGCAGAGTCAGGGCAGGGGACCTCGGGATGGTCCTGCAACACATGAGAGGAGAACTGATGGGAAACCACCTTAGGAGGCCAGACACAGGCTGGTCCAAAACCCAGATGAGCACAGTGTAGCCAACTGCAGTCCAACAGCCATGATGAACCAGGGGCTGGAACTCTGCAGAGAAGTCCTGGCAGGCTGGAGCTGAAGGGCAGGGCACAGTGAGAGCGCCACACCTTGACAGGGGCCACCTGCCTGGGGTGCAGGGACAGCTAAAGGAGCAGCCCACTGTGGTTCCCTCCTCAGCACAGCAGAGGCCAATGTCACAAGAGCATCTCAACTAACCTAGAGTATACCACTGGGCGAAATCCAGCACTTTCCATGATGAAAGGAACCAGCAAGTTACTCAGAGGAAGAACAGCACAGTGAGGGTCATTTGTGAAAAACACACAGCAAATCCACTTCAGTGGGAGACCCAGAGTGCTCTACACTGAGACCTGTTCTGGGCAAGGAATGACCCTAAGCCTTCCTCTTCCACAAAGGGCTGGAACCTAGCCAGGGGTTAGCTAGTAACAATGGTGGAGAATGTCATCCAAGTCAGGAAGGATGAAGTTACACATGTCTGTTGGTGAATGATGTGAACATGCAGAGTCAGAACATGAAAAAATAAACCAACCAGAAAAAGATCAAGGATGTCAGTGGGAAGGCAGGGCCTGCAGAAGGTTCTGCACAGCACAGGAGACAAGTAAGTGCAGGGAGAGAGCCTAGAGATTGGGTGAGCCCTCTGCCCCACTTCTCAGGCAGGGAATAGTAACCACAATATATAAAGAGCTCAAAAAACTTCACCTCCCCAAACAAATGATCCACTTATTAGATGACAAATAACTAACCAGACACTTCTCAATAGAAGAAAGACAAATGAACAATGAATATGTGAATAAAAGCTCATATCTCTAACAATTAGGGAAATTCCAATGACAGTGACAATGAGGTTCCTTCTCACTTCACCAGAATGACAGTTATCAAGAATACAAATACAGGAGCTGGAGGAAACCTGGGGAGAGGACCCTCACACCTTGTTGGTGGGACAGCAGATGAGAACCACCCCGAGGAGAGCAGGTGGAGACCCCTCAGAACAACAGGGAGGAAGCCACCGTGGGACCCAGCTCTCCTGCTGCTTGGTATTTACCCCAAAGACCCAAGTCAGCACAGTGCAGGGACACGGCCACTGCAGGGTTTATACAGTGCAATTCCCAAGACCAGGTTATGCAACCAGCCCAGGGGCCCTTCACTAGTGGATGGATAAAGGAAATGTGGGTCATGTACCAACACTGCAGCTCTGCTCAGCCAATAGGAGGAGTGAGATGATGCTGAGTGGACGGAGCTGAAGGACATTAGGGAAGAGGAATGAGAGAGGCTCAGGGAGTCAGGTGAGTGTTGGCTGTCCTCTGTGGGAGCTTCCACAAATAAGGGAGATAAAGGAAGGGGAACCCCAAGAGCATAGAAGAAGTCATTGGGGATCAGGAAGTGACTAAGGGAGAGGGAGGAAGGACAGGAGAAGGGAGGGGCCAAGAGTGAGCTGAGCAGATATTATTGGTCAATTCTGCCCACGTGGGAGTCCTGCACCTGTGGGAGTGAACCACTGTGAGTTTCTATACACACACACACACACACACACACAAATAGTGTAAATTTAATGAAAATTGTCGTGGAAGAAAGGTCAGTTAAATAATGGGGAGAAGGAGGAAAATTTAAAAGGAGATGTTGTGAGAGCAACAGAGGTTTTATAGACAATGAATATATGTGACTATGTCAAAGTGAAAACCTATAATAAATATATGTAAGATGCACTATTTCAAAAGAAAAAGAACATGACAAAAACAGGATGGTTATCTTCAGACACATCAGAGATAAGTAGAGACCACAAGGCCACAGAGACCCCCTGGGAAGCTGGTACATGGACAGGCCTCCAGAAGGAGGAAACCTGCCCCACCTCCCTCTGCACCTGCTTCTGGGCTGACCTGACTCCTGTGTGCTGAGCGCCCCCTGCTGGCCCTGGGTGAGCAGCAGGGAGGTTTGTGTCTGGGTTCACACTGAGGTCCCCTCACTGTGTCTCTGGCACAGTAATAGGTGGCTGTGTCCTCAGTGGTCAGGGAGCTCAGCTGCAGGGAGAACTGGTTCTTGGACGTGTCTCTGGAGATGGACACTCGGCTCTTGAGGGATGGGCTGTAGTTAGTGCTACCACTATAACTTATGGACCCTATGTACTCCAGCCCCTTCCCTGGGGGGTGACGGATCCAGCTCCAGCAGTAACCACTGGTGATGGAGTAACCAGAGACAGCACAGGTGAGGGACAGGGTCTGTGAGGGCTTCACCAGGCCAGGTCCTGACTCCTGCAGCTGCACCTGACACAGGACACCTGGGGAAAAAGACAGTCACACTCTGTCAGTCACCTACAGTCACAACCTCCCCATGGACCCAGATCTGACACTGGGAACACTCACCTTGGGGAGCTGTGACCAGGCACAGGACAAGACCCAGCAGCCTCATCTTCTAGACCACACCTGCCTTCCCAGAGACCTCAGCCCTGTCTGAGCAGAGAGCTGGGAGCTCCCACAGCCCAAAGGGCCTTTGAACCCAGAGCAAGAGGAGGGATTTGCATGTGGGTGAGGCTCTTCTGATATCTGGAGAGGCTGGGGTCAGGCTACCCAGGTTGGAGTGCATGGTGGGAAAGTCCTTAGCTCTGGCCAAGGAGGGAGAACACCGTGGCAGAAGGGTGTGGAGGAGGAAAGCAGCTCCGGACATGGCCACCAGGAAGCAGGTGAGCTGCACAGAGTGTTTCCCAAAGGCACACCCCAGTGATCCAAGTATTCCAGCCACCCCCCGACCTGCCTACAGTTGCTGCAAGTCAATCCATGTTAGTGGATTAATCCACTTTAGGTTTGAGCTCTGGTAATCTAGTCCTCTCTCCTTTGTCTCACATGTGAGCTTGTGGGCCACCTCACATGTGAACCATGACAGCAAATTCCTGGTCCTGTTAATCCTTCTACCTGATCAATTTTCAGGGGATTTAATCACCTCATTTCATATTGACATAAAGATTCCAGGGAAATAACCGATTGTGTGAGAGGCTCATGTGCAGGGAGGGGCGAGGTGTGTCCAGGCTGCTGCTGTCCAGCACCAGCACCGTGTCTGCCAAGCCTGTGGTCTGCATGTGGAGCGTGCAGAATGCACCTCATTTGTCCACACAGACACAGGGCACAGAGGATGGGAAGATGTCATAGCCACAACCATGTTGATGTGTTGTATGGGAGAAGAATTACCCAGGAACAGGGAGTGACTGTGGACAGAGAATGTGGACGTGTCCTCCAGGGAAGGCCAGGCCTGAGGGAAAGACAGCAGGTGTTCCTCCTGGAAGCTCACTGCAGAATAGAGCCAGCAACAGCCACAGCAGCCACATCTCCTGGGCCAGAGCCTGGGGTGCTGGAGCCTGAGGGTTGGAGCTTGCTCATGAAACTGTGGGTCTCCGTGTGGTTGTGCAAAGTGGCCCAGATGTTCTGGGCCATCAATTAATGTCCGGCTAGAAATGCCAATAATTGTGCCCTTAATGATTTCAACTTACTCTTTGAGGAAGTATATTGTATGTTCAGGGACCTTTATAAATTTAGAATTTAGGGACATGAGACGTGAAAATATTGCTCATGAATATTCAGAGAATATTCATTTGAGGACTAAGGAATTCAAGGTTACGCCATCAACCCTTTTCAATCCATCCCAGGTAATCATTATTTTTTAAATTGATAAACATCTATTGAAGGCCCAGAGGCATAACTGTGGAGGCCTTTCTCAGGAAGTGTGTCACGTTTACAGAAAAATGAAATCCACAACTGGAAAAAATCCACTAGTCAATCAGCAACTCCTTGCTCCTGAGCGCCCTCTGCTGCCCACAGGTGCCTCCTGAGGGACATTTGTATCTGGCTCACACTGAGGTCCCCTCAGTGACTCTGCACAGTATGAGTTGGTCATGTCCTTGGCTGCATTCTGCACTCCTCCTTGGAGGCTCTGCAATGTCCCTAGGGCCTCATTCCTTTGAGGATGACCTTGTGGAGGACTTTGCAGGGACTCCCTCCTGCAGGGCTCCTTTCCTGTCCTTGGGGTTTCTGTGTTTTCTGAGGACTGTGTCATGCTGCCATGCCCCACAGATCTTGGACTCTGTCCCTGTCACTGTGAGAAGCACATGGACACCATCTCTATGCATGCACTGGACCTCTGTAGGGGCAGCCACAGAGGCCCACACTGCCCCTGGACACACTGAGCCACAGCTGCAGTGACTACATAATAAAACTCGTCATCTGTGGCAAGTAAGAGCCAACACTATGGTCCTGTGGTAGGTGAGGGTCTCCCATGGCAGTGGTTGGTGTCATGCACACTGTGACAAGTCATACTGCCTTGTGAGGTGAACATCCGAGTCTGCAGAAGAGCCTCTCCAAGTCCTAAGCTCAGGACTGCAGGAGAAGCCTTGCCTGTGGCCAGGACCAAGGGGACAAGCCCTATGGCAGGGGAGCAGGCACACTGGCTGGGCTCACCTTGGTGCTTTGAAGCACAGAGCTGGACAGGCCATGACCTGAGCACCCAGGGCCCACTGGGAGAACCAGGGCATCCATGTTCTCCCTCGCCTCTGAGTGGCCCAAGCGGGTTAGATATTAATTTCAGGGACCCATCCTCTGTATCTTGACACACACCTGAAAGTTTGCTGTCAGACTGAGCCATCAAAAATTTATTATTTTTACATGAAAAGCTGTGGACTTGTGCTTCAAATGTAGACCTGTAATCCAGTTACTTTCCAGATGTTTACAAAGGATGCTTTCTGTATGTTTGAGTGTTCTTGAACCAAAAACATCCACACACTTAGCACATGTGAAATTTGCACTTTAGTTTACATGGCCAGGTCCCTGGAGGCTGCTATAGTGGATGAGGGAGCTGCAGAGGCCCCTGCTCTTCTCCCTGCCCATAGGCCTGGGTCAGTCTATGGCCACTGGTGCAGGACAGAGCACTGTGGAGGGAGGGAGTGCTCATCCTGCCCCCACCACACAGAGCACATGGGTGACAGGCAGGACCTCTGCTGAAGCCACACTCAGGTGGGGCCCCTTGTACAGTGGTGTTGCCACTCCCTGATACCCAAACAAGTGTCAATCATTCTTCAACCCTGAAAGGGGGCACCTGTGCTGCTGGAGCCACTGAGCCCCCAGCTCCCAGCACAGTTTGGGAACTTCTGGGAAACAGGCCCCAGCAGTGGTGGGGACAGAGCAGAGCCAGCCTGGGCTTCACACCAGGCTCCACTGCACAGAGCCATGCAGGGACCCCACCAGGGTCCTGGAAAGCAGCTGGCTGGATGCTCCCTTCAGCCTCCCTACTCAGCTGAATGCTGGGTCAGGGAGGAGCTGTCCATCCACCTGCAGACACAGGACGCAGCTGGCCATAAGTCCACACTTGTACAAAGGGGGGAAGTGCCCTGGGCCCTCCCTGAGTGGCAGGGCATGCTGAGAGCAGGGCCAGCTGTAAGGGCCACACACCTTTCCCAGGACCCCAGGTGGCATTGCAGGAGCCTGTAACCCCTAACAAGGTCCCCAGGGCAGCTTATCAGACCCTGAGCAGCCACTGCACAGAGTCCCTGTGGAGGTGCAAAGCCAGCCCTGGGTGCTGAGAGCATCTCGCCCTTGTCCCCAGGTGCTGCCTGCCCTGTGCTGTCCTCTAATCTGACAGCCACCTCTGCACTCATGGGGCCTGCTGCACTGCTGACCTGGGCCTGCGGGAGGGCCACCCCAGGCAGCCCTTGGGGACAGATGGGCTGCACCTCTGCTGCTCTGCCAGCAGCCCCTCAGCTGTCCAGGCTGCCAGAGTGGCCCCAGCACCATGCAGCCCCCAGGACTGTGAGGCCCAGCTGCTCCAGGAACACCTGACCAAGGTGCAGTGAATGCACTCCTCAGGTGGAAAGAACAAGGAGCCTGTGGGACTCTTCAGCCTCCATTTAGGAAAGAATTATTTATGTTATGGGTGACACAGAGGGGGGAGAATGAAAGACATAATACCTACTCAACCAGGTGTTTCTAGCCCTTAGGAATACAACTGGTCATGAGGCCACCTGTATGTATTTCCCTAACCACAGGGGGACATGCAGGAGCAGAATCATGCATTTCCAGAGGTGTGCACCCTGCCCAGCTGAGACTAGGAGCAGCAGGCAGCCTGAGCAGAGCAGGGACAGACACAGAGGTCACATCACGTGTCAAAACCCAGGAAAGACAAGGCCAAGGGCAGACGGCTTCACCACAGGAGGATATGAATAATTAAGGACAGCCAATGTCACACTGACTGAATTAGGTAGGTTAGTTTTATACATGCAGATGTTATCCACTGGGACAGGCCAAATGGGGATGCTGTAACAGATCATGGAATAACCAGGGTAGAAAGGCAAGCATGGGAATCGGGTAATACATCGGATAGTATCCACTGGGGACAGCAACAGTGTGTAGATGGGTTATGAGGCCAGATAGTATCCACTGTGGACAGGACCAGCATGGGGAAGGAGTAATTGTTCAGATAAAATCCACTGGGTACAGGCCAGCATGGGGATGGAGTAACAGGTCAGGTGTTATCTATTGTGGACAAACCATCATGAAGATTCAGGGACAGGTCAGATATTATCCACTGGGGACAGGGCAGCATGGTAATACAGTAGCAGGTAGATGTTATCCACTGTTACAGTCAAGTGTCAGATGGTGTGACAGCTCTGATATCAAGCCCTGTAAACAGGTTTAGCATGCAGAGGCAGCAACATGTTATACATTATCCACTTGCGATAGAGTGAGCATGAAGATGAGTAGCAGGTCACAAAGAATCAACAGGGAGAGGATTTGGATGGAATAACTGGTCAGATGTTGTTTCCTGGGATCTGGTTCAACATGGGGATGGAGTAACTTGTAATGCAGGGATTGCGCGGTTTTCTAGGAATCCCCTGAACCATCCTAGTAGTGCCCAAGTGGTTATGCCCTTGTCCAGGGAAGGTCTGTGGACAACTGCCAGGGCTGGCATCTCCTGGGCCCTATGATTTCATGGGAAAACAAGGTCTTGAAGGATTTTCCTAGGAGAGAAGCAACACTGGCTCTTCATGAAGAAGATGAACTGGTCAACTTTCCAGCAGAAGCTCTGACGGGCTGCACCCTACAGGGGCTGATGTAGATGAAGAAAGCTTGGAGTCTGTGCACAGTGGGTCTTCAGCCAGGAAGACAGTGGGGTGACAGCATTTGCTGGGAAACAGGTGGAACTGGGACCATCAAGCTGATGAAGGAGGCCAGACACAGAAGCCAAGGGCCCATCTTCTCTCCCAATTGAGGGAGCTGGAGAAGAGGGAGAGGAGAGGAAGGGGTTGTGGACAGAGAAGGAGATCAGTGGGTCCAGGAAGGGCCTGCGGGTGGGCAGAGGGGTGAAGGGAGGAGAGCAGAAGGGAACTCACCATCTATGCTGTGAGCTGATGTGAAGGAGCACAGTGAACTCCACCTTCATGAACATCCATGAACCTCCGACTCAGACATGTGTAACACATAGAAGAAAGACCACAGAGCCCAGGAGGGGAGCAGGGAGGGAGAAGGGCAGGAAGGGGAAGGGCTGCCCACAGAAATGGGGGTCCTGATCCAGGTCTGAATCACTATGGAAACCAACTCCAGTGCTCTGTTTCCCTACAGTGCACCCACAGTTATAAATACCACAGGAGAGAGTCAGAGGACACAGCCACAGCTGTGGGCCAGCAGCCCTGCTCCTGCTTCATGGGCCAGAGGTCATGGTGAGGGCCTGGGCCTCTTCCAAGTGCTGAGGATGACCAGGAAGGAGGATGACCAGGAAGGAGGAGACCAGGAAGGAGGCAGACCCTCATCAACATGGACAAGTGATGGGGTCCCTGCTGGCTCTACTTGGGGGACCTGTTACCCTCTGTCCTTCTGATGTATTGACATGGATGGGGCCATGTGTGCCCTACGTCTGGCCTCCACTTGAGTGTGGAAGAAGGTAGATCCTGTTCACTTCCCTGGAAGTTGTGCAAATAGCAACTTAAAATTTTATTAGAAAGATTGTTTAGGAGGGAGACTATGGCCACAGGGCCAAGGAGAGAACTTGACTGACCCTAATGGCCCCTGGGGTCTGGAGTCCCCTAGACTGTGTCCTGATTACCTGGTGAGGGCTTCCACAGCAGAGAGCTCTTGGCTGTGCTGGTCATGGTGGTGGCTGTTTTCTGGGTCAGAGTCCAGCAGGGCAGCAGTGGAGGACATCTGAGTCACCCTCTCAGCAGCTCCAGGCACAAGGGTTATCACACTCCCTCCCTGGATGTCCATCAGGTGTCCCCTCTGCCCCTCCCAGGACTGCTGTGGGGAATTCAGGGCAGGGCCACCTGGAGTCTCAGGCAGGACCTGGGCAGTCAGGCTCCTGTTCTCAGGTGTCAGGTCTGGGGTGGGCAGACTTTGCTGAAGACAGGGCTTACTGACTGGGCTGGTCAGAGGGCCCCATGCCACCCCCTAGGGCTCAGCTAATGTGCAGACCCAGCCTGGCTGGCTGTTCCTCTGAAGGAATCTCGCCTAATCCTCAGCCCCACACCTTCCATTTACAAGCAGCAAAAGTGCCAGAGGACCAGTGCTGACTCTCAGGGAGTCCAGGAGGACCATGAGCCTGGGGTTGATCAGGGGTCCAGGGCACCCACCCTGGACTGTCTGGGTGCTTGTTCTACAGAGAATCCTGAGGGTGGTCCTAATCTGTAAATCTCACTGAAATCCCTCTGAGTTAATGGAAAATACTCACCAGTGTCCTCTGAGCTTCCTCACCTCTGACCCTGACAGTCAGAGTGACACAGAGTAGTCACTTGAGCCTCAATAATGCTCTTCTGCATGTTGTTCATGTGAAAATGCTCCTGTGTCAAAGTGTGCAGTGCAGGGACCCCGGGGAATCAGAGCGGGAGAGAGGACACCCTTGTCCTGTCCTGAGCTGAGAGGAACTGTTTCCAGGATGTCTCACTTCAGTATGGTGGTGGCCTTGGGTTTGTCACATGTACCCTTGATGAGGTTGAGGTCATGCCCTTGTATGTCTAACTTCTCCAGTCCTTTAAATATGAGGGGTACTGGACTCTGTCAAATTATTTTTCTGCCTCTGTTGATGTGATGGTGTGACTCTTGTCCCCACCTCTATTCATGTGGTGACTCACAGATGGATATGACATTATGGATCTGTATGTTGAGCCAACCTCCTGACCCTGTGGAGAAACCCACTGATCACAGTCCCCACCTTCTCGTGTGTCCTTGAGTGCAGCGTGCCAATATTTTATTAAGGAGTCTCTCATCTCTGTCCACCAGTGATGTTGGTCTGAAGTCTTCTGTCCTGGATGTCTCTATGTCTGGCTTTGGTATCCAGGTGTTATTGGCTTTACAGAAGGATTTTTTTCAGTGTTTCCTTCTTTTTCATTTCATGGAACAACATAAGGAGGTTGGCCTTCTCTTTGTTAAAGTCTCTTAGAATCAACTGCAAATCATTCTGCTTCTGGGCTCTCCTCTTGTGGAAGGTCTTTAATGGCTGTTCAGCTTCATGGTTTTCTTTTTTTTTAGGTTTGTAGATTCTTGTGCTTCAGTTTGTCTACATCACATGAGTTTAGAATTTTTGACAATCTCTTCATGGTTTTCTAGTTTACTGCTGGATATTTTAAAAAATAGATTCTAATCTTCTGGATTTCAGTAGCAATAGTTCTGTTTATCTCTAATTTTGTTGATTGGGTCTTCTGCTTTTGGTTTTCTTCAGTTGGTCAAGGGCTTTCAATGTACTTTGTTTTCTAAGAAACATCTCTTTTTTATTTTAAACTTTGTATTGTGTACAGAGTCCCACATAACTCTATCCAGAGCAATCAGGCAAGACAAAGAAATTAAATTGTTTTGGAGGAAAGAAAGAAGTCTCAATATGCTGCTTGGTGGTGATGTGATCCAATATCTAGGAGAACCAAAATCTCCACCATAAGGCTTCTAGATCTGATAAACACCTGTAGCAATAGAGCTAAATACATCATGCACAGATAAATAATCCACTTTCCTGTATTCCAAAATGACTCATCTGAGAACTAAATCAAGAAATTGGTCCCATTCTAAATGACCTTAAAAGAACTTATAAAAAATTTAGCCGGAGAGGTGAAAGATCTCTACAATGGAAATAGTGAATATCTCAGGGAGAATTTGAAGAACTTAGAGATGGAAAGCCCCACCCCCATGTTCTGCCTTCATCAGAATTAATAATATCAAATGGCCAAACTATCTCAAGTGTCACACAGATTCAGTGAAATCTCCAACAAATACCAACAACCTTCTTAGAAGAACCAGAAAAGTGTCCTAGTATTTGCGAGGAGAAGACACAAACACAGAGTAGGCAAAGTGATTAAGCAGGAAGAGTGAACCTGGAGATGACAACATGTGACCTCTAATTACTTGACGGAGCTGCAGTAATTAAACCAGCATGGCACTGTCACCAAAGCAGACATGGAGACCAAGGGGACAGAGTAGGAGGTACAGAGACAGACCAACCTAAGTGCACTGATCTGGCACTTGACAGAGTTTCCAAAATCATGTTGCAGAAATTACAGGCTTTTCAAGAGAGAGTGCTGGGAAAACTGAATATCAATATGTAAAGGAATATAATAGTTCACTATCTCTCACCCTGTAAAACATCAACTCAAAATTAATAAAAAATCAACTAATTAGACTGGACACTCTGCAAGAACTAGAATCAAATATTGCACCAACCCTCCTCTGTATTGACACAGACACCGACTTCCTCAACCACATCACTAAAGTGCAAGGATCAAAACCAGGAATCAGTAAGCAGAACAGTGTCAAATTAAAACCTTCAGCACAGCAATGGAATCCAGCCACAGTGTGAGGAGAGAGCCTTCATAATGAGAGATCATTGTCACCTGCTTCCCAGATAGGGCACTAATATGAAGAACCCAAAATACTTAAAAGACCAGACCAAATAGCCCAATAAATAAACAAGAAAGACCTAAAGGGACATTCCGCAAGAGAGGAAATTAAGTGGCCAACAAATATAGGAAAACATTCTCAATAGTCCTAGAAATCAGGAAATGCAAATTGAAACTGGATTGAGAATTCATCTCAGTCCAATCAGAAGGCGACCATCAAGAACACAGATAATAACAAATGCCAGCAAAGATGTGGGAAAGAGGTGTACGGATGTGCTATTGCTGGGACTTCAAATTAGTGATGCCATTCTAGAAAGCAGAATAGACATTTCATGAAAACCAGGAATGGAGCCACGATGTGAAGCAGCTACCACTCCTCGGTATTTATCCAAAAGACCCAAAATCAGCACAGCACAGCTATCTAGCCACATCAGTTTTTACACCAGTGGGCCTGAAAACAGCCATATTAAGTAACTTTCCCAGATGTCCATCAACAGATGAGTGGATAAAGGGAAGGTGGTGTATACACAGAACAGTGTTTCAGTCAGCCACAGGGAAGAGGGAAAATGTGGCATTTCCTGGTCAATGGATGGAACTGGAGAGTATCAAGTTTATTAACCCAGAATCAGAGGGAGAAATGTCAAGTGTTTAATCTCAAATGCGAATTGCACATCACAAAAGGGGAAAGTTCTGGGAGGAGTCCTCTGGAAACAGAAGAGGGAGCAGGAGGAGAGGAAGGGGATCAAGGGTGAGGTAGGGGAACAGAAATGGGACAAGCAGTGGAATGACACTGACGAAGCATTCCTGTGTCCTGTGTGAGGATGGCACAGTGGATGTCCCCTTTATGTGTTCTAAGAGGCACTAATGAGACCAAATTATAGAAAAGATCTGTGGAGAAAAGAAAGGGAAAAAGGGTCAGGAGGGAGGGGTAAAGAGGAGGGAGGGAAAGGCAGATGGCAGGGGACAGAAGTGGAGAGATTATATCCCATGATTGTGTAGCTGTGTCCAATTGAAATGCACTATTATTTATAATTATGGTGCAACAATGAAAAAAGAAAGTATAAATTAGAAACCCAAATTGTTCTCTTCAGAGATGTAAGAGATTAGTAGGAAAAATATGTCCAGAGAGCTCTCCTAGAAAGCTGGTACATGGAGAGGAGGGACTTACTGGGACCAGAATTAGACAAATTATATTTCATGCTTCTATCACTTTGGCAAAAGGATTGCAAAAGTTACAAATAAATGAAAAGGACAAATAAAAATAAAATGAATAATGCTAAAATAATGGGGAGAATATAATATAATAATGGAATAGTCAGGTGTTGGAAAGGAGGCCCTGGAGATCCATGTGATGTAGAGAGGAAATGAAATGTCACAGATTTTCATAAATGGCACCAGGTTGCAGACATTGTGGTAACCAATGTCCTCTTCAGAAAACTTATATTTGAGCCTTTCTTAATTATGGAAAACTTCATGGAAGAACTTAAAAGTTTGTGGTGTCCTGAGACACAGGCATCTCCAGAAGAATATGGATGGTCATGCCCCAGAAGGATCTGCCTGGAGAGAGAGTAAAGTGACTGAGGGGAAGGGACCCCACCTCCCTCTGCACCTGCTCCTGGCTGACTTGAGCTCCTGTGTGCTGAGTGCCCCCTCCTGGCCCTGGGTGCCCTGCAGGAGGTTTGTGTCTGGGCTCACACTGAGGTCCCCTCACTGTGTCTCTGGCACAGTAATAGGTGGCTGTGTCCTCAGTGGTCAGGGAGCTCAGCTGCAGGGAGAACTGGTTCTTGGACGTGTCTCTGGAGATGGACACTCGGCTCTTGAGGGTAGAGCTGTAGTAAGTGTTACCATTATAACATATGCTCCCTATCCACTCCAGCCCCTTCCCTGGGGGCTGACGGATCCAGCTCCAGCAGTAACCAATGGTGATGGAGTAACCAGAGACAGCACAGGTGAGGGACAGGGTCTGCGAGGGCTTCACCAGGCCAGGTCCTGACTCCTGCAGCTGCACCTGGCACAAGATACCTGGGGACAAAGACAGTCACAACCTGTCAGTCACCTGCAGTCACAACCTTCCCAAGGACCCAGGTCTGACACTGGGGACACTTACCTTGGGGAGCTGTGACCAGGCACAGGACAAGACCCAGCAGCCTCATCTTCTAGACCACACCTGCCTTCCCAGAGACCTCAGCCCTGTGTGAGCAGAGAGCTGGGAGCTCCCACAGCCCAGAGGGCCTTTGAACCCAGAGCAGGAGGAGGGATTTGCATGTGGGTGAGGCTTTTCTGATATCTGGAGAGGCTGGGGTCAGGCTGCCCAGGTCCTCTGTGCTCCTGAGATGTGTCCCTGTCTTGAACCCAAGTGGAGCTTTACCTGTGAGAGGAGAGCAGGTGGTTTCAGGGGTGCTGGAAGGCTGTCAGAGGGGGAGCCCACCCTCCTGAGCCCAGCCCTGCCTCCTCCAAGCCCTTCCTCCCTGCACCTGGGAGGGTGTCAGAGTGGCAGGAATATGCCCAGCATGCAAGAGGCCCAGGTCCACCTCCCAGCCCTGAAGGAGAAGCCCTCAGTGATGACTGAACAGAGCCCAGGGCTGAGGATGGGGTTCCCCACATCCAGGAGAAGAGCCCCCCTTTGTTCTCAGGACTAGTTCTTCTCTTTCATCTCTGTGAGATTTGGGGGCTACAGACTGAGCAGGAGAGGAGGGAGCAGGGTCTCAGGAGGGGAGGGGCTTCCTGCTGTGTGCCCACTGCCCTCCCCACCCTGTGCCCTGCTTGTCCTCCTGACTGTCCAGCCAATGCCTGTGGACAGCAGTGGGTGGGAATCTGCCCTGAGCTCCTCCCCTCACCTGTGCTGCCCTCTGGTCTCCACCAGGAGAGGACAGGATGGAGGTGCTGGGCCAGGGGAGAGTCCTGGGAGCAGAGGCAGCTCTCAGCTGCAGCCTGAGGCTGAGAGCCCCTGAGTGCCCCAGAGCAGCAGAGCCAGGCTGACAGCAGACAGGACGGCATGCAGGGCAGGCTGGGTGAGGGAGGAGGCCCAGTCCCCTTCCCTGTGCAGCATCCCTGCAGTGAGACCTGCCTTGCCCACAGCCCAGCATTTGGAGAGAACAGTGGACAGTGTCTTTAGTGAGGTGGGGTCACTGAGAGGGCAGGTGTAGTGGCTGACCTCCTGATGAGGTTCAGGAATTGACCTCCTGCCTAACTGAGTGAGCACAGCCCACTAATAAGACATGTGGCTCCTCTCCTTGTTCGTGTGGTGTTGACCATGAACTCCCTGCAAACACTGAGCCTGCAGCACCCACCTCCTGGTCCTGGGGTGGCTCAGGTAAGACCTGCTGGTCTCCATGTTTTCACCACCTGCAAATCCAGTGGAGCCCCTGAGTGAAGTTTCCAAGTCATAGCAAATCATATGATTAGAAAGCTGTTCTTCCAGGCATCTGACTAGGAGGCATCCTAAGATTATTCCACCTCCTGACCTGGGGATCCTGGAGCCCTCCATGTGACAGTCTTACCCGTCTCACCTGTGCCAGGTGTGGGGTCTTCCCCACCTCACCTCTTCCAGGACTTCAGTTTGCTTTCAACATTCAGCACAAAGTGTTCATGAAAATAAGAAAAACTTAGTGGATGTATGATGTGGCCATAAGAAAAACTCCTAAAATATATCAATATTTGGCATTGTTTTGTCACTTGACCAAAATTCTGAGAACACAGAGGAGGAAAAGCTTCCTTTGGGTCATGACTTAGGAGGTTGGAGTGCAAGATGTCAAGTCCTTAGCTCTGGCCAGGGAGGGAGAACACCATGGCAGAAGGATGTGGAGGAGGAAACCAGTTCAGGACATGGCCACCAGGAAGCAGTCCAGCCACAGTGACTGGAAACCACTTCCCTGGGGGCTGACGGATCCAGCTCCAGCAGTAACCAGACTCCAGTTTGCTTCCCCCCAGCAGCCAGGTGTCCTCGGGATTCTCAGGCTCAGGGTCAGCTCCCAGTCCCTCCCAGCTCTGGCACTGTGCTGGGAAGGTTAAGTACTGCATGGGGGTTGCAGGCCTTCTCCAGCCAGGGACCCTGGGCTTTCCCTGGTAAGCACAGCCCAGCTCCCCTGAGGTCAATGTGTGCTGGGCTGAGGTCTGTTACTGACCCTGCTTCTCCAGGCCTGGTGGGAAGGTGTCCCTCCTACTGCTGAGAAAGGACTTAAGGATTCTGACATGCCCCTTAAGGCCATGACTCACGGTGTCCTAGTAATACCATCAGGAAGCACTGAGGTGGTGCCTGGGTTGTGGGGTGCTGTGGGAACTGATGAGGGGAACAGACACAGCACCTCGGGGCCCTGGCTCAGTCTCTGCACTGAGCACATGAGGACTGGTTTCCCTTGATGGAACCTGACCTCACAGGGGAGCCAGCAGAGGGCCGCACCTGGGGCTCAGGAGAGGACAGGCCCCAGGTGGGTGCCCACCTGCAGGAGGACCCTCCTCGGGCAGCACACTGAGCTCTGCCCAGGAACGGGCTGGGCACCAGGAGCATGGCTCATGCTGCTCAGGAAAGGACCCCACAGGTACCATGGAGATGTGCAGAGATAAGGCAAGGACTGGGCACTGCGGCTGGTCAGACATTCCCTTACTCCAAAGAGCAGGGTCTTCTCCTAAGCCCACTGCTGAGAGGGACCCTCGGATTTGTTGGCAGCATTTTGACAGCTCAGCTGTGCACCCCATCTTCCCTGGGCAGGAGTGTCCCCACATTCCCTCCACCTCCCTCCTGAGGATGATAGAGAATGGGCACTGCTCCTGGGACCAGAGCAGGGCTGGCCCCGGGGTCTGCAGACACATTTCCCAGTGAGACGTGTGGGGAGGATGGGGCTGGAACCTGACAGGCAGGTGGCTGTCACTGCTGAGGGTTCAGACAGCAGCGTCCTGGGCCTGGGCTGCTCTACATTGCCACCCCCGTCCAGCACAGGCAGCAGAACTGAAGTCACTGTGTGAATTTGGGGAGACACAAAGTACCACCCAAACACAGAATACCTTTTATAAGCTTCATGATGGCTTTCTCCATCTCCCAGCCTCAGGCTCCCCAAAACGGGGACAAGAGAAGGTCAGAGAGGCTGACAGGAGAGAGGGGGCATGTTCAGAAGTGGGCTTTTATTTTGGGTGATGCTGTGTCTTAGAATTTTCTATCTGAAAAAGGCAGAAGGGGCAGGATTACAAAGGAACAGGTGAGTGTGACTCAACCCCAGCAGGTGACACCTACTCCTGGAGCCACACCCTGTTATCCCAGCTGGGGGAGCACCCAAGTTACTGTACCTGGCACTACCCTGCCCGACTGAATGCAATAACTGTTCAGAACCTGGAGCATCAGGACTTAAGGAGGGTTCATCGAGGGTGGCTTCCCTCACTAATGGCTCTCCTCTCCTGGGACCTACACTGAGCTGATCCCTTGGAATCCAGGGAAACCTCTGCAGATGAAGAGGGAGCTGGACATAGAGAGGGAGTCACATGTCAGGTGCACAGCTCCTCTGGGGACAGCCACTTAGACAGTCTGTCTCCTCCTCTTCCCAAATGCTCTCCATCATTAGTTGCATCCAGTCTCCCTGCTGGTGCTGATGTGTCCTGGATTACAGGACATTTAGAAGATGAGGAAGGCTGTACCTATGTCACACAACCAACATGACAGTGTCACAAGATCTCCAGGAACAGATGGATCATGTCACAGTAGCAGGCAGTGGGAGAGAAAGCAGTGTGCTGGACTCAGAACTGAGCACTCAGCACCCAGAGCCTGAGAGGGTGTGGTGAGTGAGACTGGGCACCAGGAAGGGAGCAGGGTCCTGAGAAAGGTGCTGGGCTCAGGAGGGTGGGCTCCCCCTCTGACAGCCTTCCAGCTCCCTGAAACCACCTGCTCTCCTCTCACAGGTAAAGCTCCACCTGGGTTCAAGACAGGGACACATCTCAGGAGCACAGAGGACCTGGGCAGCCTGACCTCAGCCTCTCCAGATATCAGAAGAGCCTCACCCACATGCAAATCCCTCCTCCTGCTCTGGGTTCAAAGGCCCTCTGGGCTGTGGGAGCTCCCAGCTCTCTGCTCACACAGGGCTGAGGTCTCTGGGAAGGCAGGTGTGGTCTAGAAGATGAGGCTGCTGGGTCTTGTCCTGTGCCTGGTCACAGCTCCCCAAGGTGAGTGTCCCCAGTGTCAATGTGGATCCATGGGGAGCTTTTGACTGCTGGTGACTGACAGGATGTGACTGTCCTTGTCCCCAGGTGTCCTGTGCCAGGTGCAGCTGCAGGAGTCAGGACCTGGCCTGGTGAAGCCCTCGCAGACCCTGTCCCTCACCTGTGCTGTCTCTGGTTACTCCATCACCATTGGTTACTGCTGGAACTGGATCCGGCAGCCCCCAGGGAAGGGGCTAGAGTGGATAGGGTGCATAAGTTATAGTGGTAATACTAACTACAGCCCATCCCTCAAGAGCCGAGTGTCCATCTCCAGAGACACGTCCAAGAACCAGTTCTCCCTGCAGCTGAGCTCTTTGACCTCTGAGGACATGGCCACCTATTACTGTGCCAGAGCCACTTTGCGGGGACCTCAGTGTGAGCCCAGACACAAACCTCCTGCAGGGAGCCCAGGGCCAGCAGGGGGCGCTCAGCACACAGGAGCTCAGGTCAGCCCAGGAGCAGGTGCAGAGGAGGAGGGAACTTGACCCCAGTCCTGAGCCTCCTCACCAAGCAGCTCCTCCTGAGAGCCCCAGCCATGGGGGTCCTAGAGAAGCCTCCTCCCCTGGACACCCCTCATTTCTCTCCAGGTGAGATGTGTCAGGAGTGCTCTGCTTCAGCAGCGGCTGCACAGTCTCCTCTCTAGCTGAGGCTTTCTGTGCAATGACAGGCACTGCTCAGGGCCATCACGTGAGCCCTGTGGATAGTTCATGGCTTGGGCAACTCCCTCCACTCTCAGAAGGGTCTGGATGTTCTCCTGCCCAGTGTCCCTCCCAATCCAGTGTTCCCTGTGACCTTCCTGTGACTGATCTGTGCACTTGGCACATGTAGAGGTCATAGCCCACATTGTTCCTGAGCCATCCAGCCACAGGGGACCTTTGACAATGACAAGGCACAGTCTGTCTTGTCACAGGTTAATGAACAGACGGTCATGGCACCATGTAGGTGATAGAGACCATGGATGCAGCTGATAGTGTAAAGCCACCGTCAGCAGGCACAACAAGGTTTCCTCTGTCCCCAAACATAAGCAGGACTGAGCTGAGGGATGCCGACAGGAAGCCCTGAACCTGGTCTAAATGCACCGAACGTGTGTATTCAGAGTGAACTTTGGTGTATGTGAGCTCTAACCTCATGATGAGACTCTGTGACACCAAAACTCCAACCCATGGCCCCAAAGGGCACAGGTGCCCATTCCTCATGCAGCTGTGTGGCCTGTGGACAGGGGTGACCTGAGGAAGGTCTTGGAGGGAAAGGGGCTCCCTTGGCACAGACTCCCAGGAGGGTGGTCAGCTCTGCATGGACTGTGGGAGCTGCAAGTTGGCTCTGCCATTGGCCTCAGGACCCATAGACATGCTGTGCCCAGGACCACTCTGACCCCAACAAGGTTGGGAGCTGATGGTGTCAGTGCTGAAATCAAAGGGGACTGGTGGTTTCATGTCTTCCCACAGCTGCTGTGTTCTTAGGACCATCTGGGATGTAAACATTGCCACTGCTCATCCTCACCCAGACTGGAGCAGACCCTCAGGACAGGGTGGGCACTGATGTGAGCAGGGACAGAGCCCAGGTGTCCCTGTCTGTGACCCTGCAATGCAGCCACAGGGGCTGGAAACCCAGGCAGGCTCCACGCTGCCTCTCCCCAGCAGCCAGGTGTCCTGGGGCTTCTCAGGCTCAGGGTCAGCTCATAGTGAGATGGGGTCAGTGTGGTCCTGGGCACAGCGTTTCTTCTGGGGCCTGAGGCCAGTGGCAGAGCTGACCTGAATAGCAGACCATCCTTACCACTGGGTCCTTGCCCAGGGTGCCCCTTTCTCTTGAAGACCTTGCTTAGGTCACCCCTGTCCACAGGCCCTGCACAGCTGCATGAGGAGTGGGTGTGTCCACCATATGGAGCCCTCTGTTTGAGGTGTGGTGTCACAGAGCCTCATCATGAGGGATAGACAGCTCACAAACACCAAGGTTCACTCTGAATACACACATTTCTGTACATTTCAATAAAGTTTATGGTTTTCTGTCACCCTTTTTCTGTGTAGTACATAGATATTCATGTCAGGTAATTCCTTGTTGTGGGAGCTGTCCTGTGATGGTTGGAGGTATGGCAGCCTCATTGGTCAATAAAAACTAGAAGCCAGGAAAATCCATCCCTCCTTCACAGGTGAAAACAACTCTCTGCACACATTGCAAATGGTCCCCAGGGGTGGAAAGTTCTGGCAGTAGGTGGGCTCCAGTGAGAACTTTGTTCTGTGACCTGATCCAGCACAGGAAGGTCACTGGGTGGAGGGGGAAAGGGAAGGAATCATGGGAAGGGGACTGGGAATCATCTGAACAGGCAGGGAGTGAGACATGGCATCAGGAGTGTGTAAAGTTCAGCTGGTGTGGGGAGCTCACCTGTAGACCCTGGGACACTTCGGGCTGAGGGAGGAGAATCATAACTTCAAGGTCAGCCTGGGCATCTTTGGGAGAACCTGTCTCCAAATAAGACACATAAAACCTAGAATGGACGTCAAGGGTGGAGCACCCTGGATTCAATCCCCAATAAGGAAATGAAAGATCCATACAGTTCACTTTAAAGGTGCTGTTCAGGAAATGTCCCTGAAAATTCATCTCCATCTGCAAAATTGCCTGGTCTGTGCTGAGAGAATTCCAGACAAGCAAGACCTAGAAAAGAATCACCTCACAGAGGGTCTGGCAGAGGAGGGACCTCGAGAATCTGCAGGCAAGGTGGAGTCAGGAGGTGCTGGGTGGGCAGGGACCTCAGGGCCTGAGCTGAGCTGCTCCCTCCTCCCTCTGCACCTGCTCCTGGCTGACCTGAGCTCCTGTGTGCTGCGCGCCCCCTGCTGGCCCTGGGTGCCCTGCAGGGAGGTTTGTGTCTGGGCTCTCACTGAGGTCCCCTCACTGTGTCTCTGGCACAGTAATAGGTGGCTGTGTCCTCAGCTCTCAGACTGCTCATTTGCAGGTACAGGGTGTTCTTGGAGTTGTCTCTGGAGATGGTGAATCGGCCCTTCACAGAGTCGGCATAGTTTATGGTACCACTGTTATAACTAATGAATGAGATCCACTCCAGCCCCTTCCCTGGAGCCTGGCGGACCCAGCTCATCCAGTAGTCACTGAAGGTGAATCCAGAGGCTGCACAGGAGAGTCACAGGGAACCACCAGGCTGCACCAGGCCTCCCCCAGACTCCACCAGCTGCACCTCACACTGGACACCTGCAAACACAGAGGCACCTGGTCAGGACACTGTCACTCATCCACTCTTCCTCTCACTCCTGTCCACTCACACACTCAGGATCTCTGGTTCTCCATTCATTGCCTTTGAAAACAGCCACCAGGAAAACCCAGCTGAGCACACTCTTCATGGTGAGCAGCTGTGTCCAGTCCTGATCCCTGAGTGGGCTGAGCTGGGAGTCCAGGGCTGGGCTCCTGTGCAGAGCTGCAGGGTCAGGTGGGCTGGTTTTCATGAGCAGAGGGGAGCCCTATTTGCATGTCCTCCTGCTATATAGCAGCTCTGGGTGGAGGCCTCCTAGAGGAGCATTTAGGGTAGAGGTGAGCATCAGGTGCAGTTAGGAGCACACAGCAGCATTTTGGAAAGTAAAACTGCTTTTGTGTATTTTTCTGTTCTGCCCACATCATCCATTAACGTGTTTTCCACATCTACATAATCATGACAGAGGGATCAGGGTCAATTCCATGATACAGTTATGAAATCACACAGAAGCTTGAGTGGTGATGCACTGTGCCCAACAGCCCATATCTGGCAGGAGGGATTTGAGTATTTAGGCTTCTGCTCTTACCCTGGACAGTTTTGGTCCCCTGAACCTCCTACAACTCACAGGTGGACACACATCATGAGGTCCTCAGAGCCCTGTTTTGTCAATGATCCCACACTTGGTGGGAGCTGGGCTCACTCAGGCTGCAGCAGACTGTGGCTGGACAATGTCAAGGGCACAGGTGAGGCCCTGGCGTGTGACCCCCTGACTGATGTCAGGCCATGTGCAGGACAGGGAGGGGCAGAGAGGGGCAGTGCAGGCAGAGCTGGTGCTTTGCACTTTGGCCAGGAGAGCAGCACACTTGTGGTGCTGCCCAGGAGCTGTGGCCAGGAGGGGGAGGCCAGCAGCTCCACTGAGAGCAGCCCAGGTCTTTCACCAAGAGGATGGAGGGTGTTTCAGGATCCCAGGGATCAACAAGGCCCAGCTTCCCCAGCTCAGAGGCAGAGATGAGGATCTGAAAGACCCTCCAGGGCAGGGCCTGTGGGAGAGAGCTCTGGGCTCCTGACCCAGGACTGCCCAGGGCATGGTTTCCCCTGTTCAGCCAGCAAGGGGCTCAGAGGTTCCCAGCCCTGGTTCAAGGGAGGCCAGGACCTGCTCCCTGCTGAGGGTGACCTTGTCCTCAGCCACACCATGCTGGCTTTGCAGGTGGCAGACTGTGAGAGCTACAGGGTCAGGGAGGGGTTACATGAGTACTTGAAAGGAAGTGCTGGGAGGTCAGATGGGGTCAGGGTCAGTGTCCCTGCTGGAAGGCCTGGTAGGTGATGCATGGGGCTGTGAGATGGAGCCAGGGCTGCTGAGGAGACCCCAGGATCAGAGGATCCAGCAGTGAGCAGCCCTTGCCCAGGAAGCTGCAGGCCAGGCTCACTAAGAGGGAGTCCAGAGGGTATGTCCAGCTGGGCTGTGTGGTGGGATTGCTGAGAGCCCTCCATAAAACTTAGGAGAATGGAAGCCCTCTTTGATCTTAAGGCCCACTGTATGGTTTTCCTGAATCATTTTGTCTTTGTACTGGACTCCTGGGTTCTGCTAAAGTATTTGTGCCTTGATGAATTTGAGGATGAGGACTGAATGTGTCTGCATTATGAGAAGGACCTGAGAGTTTTATTTCCAGGGATAGAATGATTAGGTGTGCATTATTGTCCTGCAGAATTCCATGTGATAAGGCTGTTCTGCAGCCCCTTAGGCTGTGGGGGACTGAGGACCCCTTAGGACTTGGGGATTCATGGAATTTATGCCAATCACTGTGGACATGCCCCGCAAGGGGACTGTCAGACCCCACAACTTCTTCCCTCCCTTTGGAGTCCTTCAAACTAGATGAGTGGCTGTCCCACAGTGGGCTCTCTGCATTGCCCCTGGCACACCCAGGAAAGGTGTGAATGCAGTGGACTCCGCTCTTCATGGACTAGAGCACTGGAAGTCATGAGCCAAAGGAAAGCTCCTCTTCATGTGTTGATGGCCTCAGGCACTTGCCACAGGGGTGCACAGCTGAGGAGCCCAATTTAGGTTACAGTGCTAGGAGAAAAGGCCAGGCCTGAAGGACAGCCTCTTCCTGGCTTCATTCTCCTGTCAATGTAAGAAGCTGGCCTCACAGGGGCAGAGCTGGACAGTGGCTGTGGTGATGAGCAAGGTCAGGAGAGGGAGGGGCGGGGACAAGAGGCACATGACCATGGCTGACACAGGAGCTCTTGTCTGTTGTCACCCAGAGGGTGGCTGTGGGCAGCACGCTTACCCTGCACACCCAAGAGAGCCAGCAGAAGGGATCAGGAGGGCTCTCCTCCCAGGACGGAGAGTGTGGGGTGATGGGTGGACCACGTGTCCTGAGCTGACCACAGGCCATGCTCAGGCACCCAGACCTCTGCTCCTGTCTCCCCAGGATGTGCAGCTGGTTTTTACAATCTAAAATGACAGGATTAGCCTCTTAATACACACACTCCTCTTGATGTTTCTTGACCTTCTCCTGGACCAGAGCACCCCTTGATGGCCCTGAGGTGGCAGCTGCTCCTGAGGTTTCTACTGGTCTGGAGCCCCCTGGTGGTCCTGAGCCTCCAGCTTGACCTGAGCTCCCCCTCCTTGTCCTGAACTCCCTAAGTGTCCTGCTGATTCTGAGATTCCCTGCTGCTCCTCAGCTCCCCCTGCTGGTCCTCAGTACCCACTGCTGGTCCTCAGCTCCCTGCTAGTCCTCAGCGCCCCCTGCTGGTCCTCAGCTCCCCCTGCTGCTCCTCAGCTCCCCCTGCTGCTCCTCAGCTCCCCCTGCTGGTCCTCAGCTCCCTGCTGGTCCTCAGCTCCCCCTGCTGCTCCTCAGCGCCCCCTGCTGCTCCTCAGCGCCCCCTGCTGGTCCTCAGCTCCCCCTGCTGCTCCTCAGCGCCCCATGCTGGTCCTCAGCTCCCTGCTGGTCCTCAGCTCCCCCTGCTGCTCCTCAGCGCCCCCTGCTGCTCCTCAGCGCCCCCTGCTGGTCCTCAGCTCCCTGCTGCTCCTCAGCTCCCCCTGCTGGTCCTCAGCTCCCTTCTGCTCCTCAGCTCCTTGCTGGTCCTCAGCGCCCCCTGCTGGTCCTCAGCTCCCTGCTGGTCCTCAGTACCCCCTGCTGGTCCTCAGCCCCCTGATGGTCCTCAGTGCCCCCTGCAGGCAGGTGAGTGACTGGGCTCACACTGAGTTCCCTCACTGGGTGTCTCCCCCTGGAATACACAGCCATATCCTCAGGTTTCATCGTATTGAGTGCTAATGAAACCTGGCTCTTGGAAATGGCCCTGGTGATGCTGACTGTATACCAGTGCAGGTCCCAACCCCAGCAGCTGCAATTGGCAAAGACACCTAAGTAAAAGCACCACACAGAGGGGGTGTTCCCTGCAGGAATGCACAGCCATGCAGAGGGAGGGCACAGGGGATCGCCTCCTGAGGGCCTTTGCCCTGCTCTGTCAGCATAAGCTCAGGACCATCAGGGAGCACTGATGACCAGTAAGGGACTCAAGGCCCGGTTAATGGTGTCTGCTTCAGCCAACATCCATCCTTCTAACCCACTCCAGGCCGTTCCCTGGAGCCTGGTGGATCCAGCTCACACATAGATGTGTAATGAGGATCCAGAGACAGCACAGGGAGGGACACGTGTGCAATGGCTTTACTCAGCCAGGTCCTGTCTCCAGGACTTCCATCTGGGACAGGACACCTGGGGACAAGGAGCATCACCTTGTGTCAATCACAACAGAAACTGCATATCCACATTGCTCTTCTGAAACTTCTGGACATTCACACAGGGGGTGGCCTCCTGTCCATCCTAGAGAGAATGTCTGCCTTGTGATGCTAAGAACACTCTGTAGGACCCTAAAGGACTCCTTCCTGCTGGTCCTCCTCCTGCCAGCCATCCAGGAATGGGGAGGCCCAGTGGTCAGGGCTGGCAGCACCACACAGAGGGGATGTTTCCTGCAGGAGTGCACAGCCATGGAGAGGGAGGACACAGGGGGTGGCCACATGAGGGCCTTTGCTCTGCTCTGTGAGCCACAGGAAGGTTCTGTATGGGTGGTGTGGTGTGCCTCTGTGGCTCTTGTAGTTTCTGGGGACAGCATGGTCAAGACACAGCTCACATCCTTGTTCCCCAGAGTCAGTGGGGTCACTGTATTCTGCATCACTCCTGCTTAAACCCCTCATGATGAAGCTGCTCACACCGCTGGGATGCCTGAGATTCTCAAGTTCTCAGAGGACGTCTGAGGCCTGCCTGTGTCTGTGCCTGCACAGCTGCTCCACAGGGACTCTGGGCCTCGGGTCACCTCCTACATTTCTCTCCCCCAGTCTCTCTCCCTCTATCCCAGAGCACTTAACACAACAGGAGTTACTTAATGTCCCCATCTGGTTTGTCAGGGGTAGGGTGGAAATCAGGAATTTTAGACTCTTCTAAGAATGACCAGGGGAGAGCTGGCTCTGCTGAGGTGCCCAGGGCAGGAGGGCAGCACTGAGCAGGACTTTGTGTCCACACAGAGACCAGATGCCTGTGGTGGCTGCTGTGACAGCACCAGCAGGGAGAGAGTCTGAGGTCATCAGCTGTGGGGCAGGACCTGGCCTGGGCTCCTGAGGCTGCAGAACCCCCTGTGGATGGTGAAGGGCTCTTGGCATAGAGCAGAGGCTGTGGAGGCTCCATCTGGGCAGAGGCACCCACAGGAGGAGAGCTAAGTGGGAACCCTCAGCACCCCATGCTGTGCCCTGGGGAGCAACACTTAAAAGAGGAGGATGGGGTCCCAGCCTTGAGCAGCTGCAGAACCACCTGTGGGAGAGGCCTGGAGAGCAGGGAGGTGGGAAGGACGTTCAGCCAGCTCAAGTGTGTTCAGGGACCAGGGACTCACCAGAGGGCAGCCTCCAGGGAGCACTGAGAGTGCAGGGGCCTCCCACAGGGGAAAGGCCCCAGGAATGGAGAGCATGTGGGCAGCTGCTCACCATCAGTCCAGCCTTTCACACTCCAGATAGAGCCCACTGGACAGGACACCCAGGTGTAGTGAATGTGGAAAGTCTTCAGCAGAAATGCCAATCACATTGCACACCTAAGCGTTCACACTGGAGACCAGCCTTTCCCATGCAGTGAATGTGGGGAGGGTTTCAGGCAAATCCCACACCTGCTCAGCACCACAGGCTCCATGGTGGAGAGAGGCCTGTGAGTGCAGTGATGTGGGAAACCCCTCAGCCAGCACTGACCTTCATCCAGCAGCAGAGTCCACATGAGAGAAACGTCCAGATGCTTCATATCTGGGAAGTCCTTCACCACACCCACCACCTTTTCACAACCTGGAGAGGACGGGAGCTCACAGGCATTGAGAGAGCAGTGAGTGTGGAGAAGACTCTAACCACTGCTCTGCTCTGCCTCAGCTGCACAAACGTCACAGCCTGAACAGGCCCTGGGAGGGCAGTGAGTGGACAGAGGCCTCAGCCAGTGGGGCCCCCTGTTCCACACCAGGATGTCCATGCTGCAGAGAGGCCCGAATGTTAGGGTCTGTAAACAAGTCAGGATGGCGCCTGGCATTTTGCCAAGGGAGTAGATTCTGAAGTAACACCAGGGAGCCATTAAGTGTGGAGATTCCTTATTGGTTGACTGCTGTATCTAGTTTATGTTAATTAAGATACGCTGTGTGTAATGTATATATACCCCTCCTGTCCTACAGTAAACGGGTCCCACTCCTGCTGTATCAATGTACACAAGTTGTTCGTCACACCCCGGTTATTTTGCTGCAGCAGAATTGCAGCACCCGAGCTGGGACCTGACTCAACTGTCAAGTTCTGAGTGTCACCCTCATGGTGGATCCAGGACTGGACCTCAGTCCTGCACACGGCACAGTGACCACAGGGAGGAACTGCTTTGATACTCAATGGATGTCTATCACTAGGTTAATGGAAAAGCAATAATAAGGATAACTATGATGCACTAATATTAACAAGGAAAATACATCACAAAAGCCAGGATCGATATTTTCAGAGAAGCCAAAGTTTAGTACAGAAAACTCCAGATGATTCCCTGGGAGAGGAATCCAGATGCAAGTAACCAGCTCTCAACCTCCCTCTGCACCTGCACCTGAGCTGACTCTTAGCTCCCTGTGTGCTGAGCGCCCCCTGCTGGACCTGGGCTCCCTGCAGGAGGTTTGTGTCTGGGCTCAGACTGAGGTCCCCTCACTGTGTCTCTAGCACAGTAATAGGTGGCAGTGTCCTCGACTCTCAGACTGCTCATTTGCAGGTACAGTGTGTTCTTGGAGTTGTCTCTGGAGATGGTGAATCGGCCCTTCACAGAGTTGGCATAGTTTATTGTATCACCATTCTTGTTAATTTCTCCGACCCACTCCAGCCCCTTCCCTGGAGCCTGGCGGACCCAGCTCATCCAGTAGTCACTGAAGGTGAATCCAGAGGCTGCACAGGAGAGTCGCAGGGAACCCCCAGGCTGCACCAGGCCTCCCCCAGACTCCACCAGCTGCACCTCACACTGGACACCTGCAAACACAGAGGCAGCCTGCTCAGGACACTGGCACTCATCCACTCTTTCTCTCACTCCTGTCCACTCACACACTCAGGATCTCTGGTTCTCCATTCATTACCTTTGAAAACAGCCACCAGGAACACCCAGCTGAGCACACTCTCCATGGTGAGCAGCTGTGTTCAGTCCTGATCACTGAGTGGGCTGAGCTGGGAGTCCAGGGTGGGCTCCTGTGCAGAGCTGCAGGGTCAGGTGGGCTGGTTTTCATGAGCAGAGGGAGGCCCTATTTGCATGTCCTCCTGCTATATAGCAGCTCTGGGTGGAGGCCCAGGTAGAGCAGCTCTGAGAGCCTGTGGTAGTGTTACTGCTGTTGACCGGTGACAAGTCCTTGCTTCCCCAATTTTGAAGAATAACACCAGAGAAGCATGCCGAGGCAAGTCAGAGTAGAAATTAGAAGTTTATTAAAGGACAGCAGAAAAGACTTCTCCCAGAGGAAGAAGGGGACCCAAGAGATGGAATCTGTGGAAGTGTGGTTGTTTCCCATTTTTACAGTTCTTTCAGTGTTGGAATATAGGTGGGAAGGCCCGAAGGGTTGGGACACAGGTGGGCCAAAGAAGTAATCTGGGTGCTTCTGAATCAGCATCTTCAAGTTTTCTGGGGGCTGTTTATTAACACTTCTTTGGGATGGGCTATCTTCATGTTTGCTGGGGGCTATTTCCAGACTTCATTAACATTCCAAGGACTTCATTAACATTCCAAGAGTTGTTTAACTTTTCCCAGAATTCATTCTAAACATGGCCTCCATTTTGGATTTTGTTGGATATTAGAGCTGTTTTACCTAACTACACTGACTACCTAACTTTAAATCTGGATTCAGTAGTGTCATAGGTAACATGGTGGACAGAGGAGCATTTAGTGATGAAAGGGTAAAGTTTCTAAGCAGCTTCTAAACTGCAAAGCCTGAGTTAAAATGTAAAAGACCAGCCATTGTAAAGTTTCTAAGCTGCAAGGCCTGAATTAAAAAGTGAAGGACCAGGAATTGTTAAGTTCCTCTGCTACATCCAGAACCTGAAATTCCTGAGGCAGTTAAGACAACGCCCTACTGGCCATTTAGTTGATTAATAGCCTAGGGCTCTGTGCAGCTTGTCATGTAGGCATACAGGGCCCAAACCAATCAGTTTGAATGTAACCCCCTCCTTAGGAATGACCTATCACTCCAGCCTGCCCTGTTCCCGCCAATGTATGTACTAATCAAGTCTAAGAATTGTTGTTTGACTTTCCCGTGGTGTATGGTGATTTGTTAAAGGAGACTGTGATGTATGTAAAGTCCCCGCCCTGCCCCAAAAAGGTGTACTTAAGCATTGTTCAACCCCGGCTCTGGGCTCTGGGCTGCTCTCCCTTCTCGAGTGGGCAAGGAGCCCCAGCATGCTGGAATCTCAATAAACCCCCTCCTGCTTATTGCATAAAGTCAGTCTCTTGGTGGTCTCTTCCTCTGGTGATAGCTGGGCCCTTACATTAGGAAGATAGAGTTTCTTCTAGTTTAATCTTGTGGCCCATTAACTTTATTCATTTTATACAAACACAGAATCATATGATGCACATACCTGTGTTAACTCTGACTAAAGGAAAATACATCACAAAGCCAGATTTAAAGATAAGTAGTTAGTGTAGCTAGGTAAATTGAGTGATAGAGAAAACATAGTTCTATTTTGGTCTGGGAGATTGGAAACTGCTTCTGGGAGTTTACCATGTTAATGTCCCCAAAGCCCAGTCTTTAATGCTGATCTTAAAGAATTGTGAATGAACTAGATTTTTGTCTGGGTTTTAGAGATGTCTGAGGATACCCCACTTTTTTTTTGTCTCTATTTTATTCATTACAATCTACTTTCTTACACTTTTGGTTAGTTTGAGGAGTGATCAACCTTGTCTATATTTTCAAACAAACAATCCTTTGTTATATTGCATCACTGAAATTTTCATTTCTCATTTCATTCAATATTTCTCTAATGTTAACTGTTCCTTTTCTTCTACTGGTTTGGAAATTCATTTTTTCCTGCTTTACAGGATCCTGAGATAAAATAGTAGATTGCTTCTTTGGGATCTTTCTCTTTTGTTATGTAGGCATTGATCAGTGTGAATTGTTTTCTATGAAATTTCTTATTAGTGAAACTGTCAGTTACCATTGACCACTTCTCCCCCACCCCCACAGGGTGAACCACTAGAGAAGCACACCCAGGCAAGCATATAAAGCAGGGTTTATTTAAAACAGGGTGACATAGACTTCTTCAGGGACAGAGAAGGGGCCACAGCTGGTATTCTGCTGTCTCAGGAAGTGAGAGTTCTTGCATGTTTATGTGTCCTAGGCTTCCTTTGCTCCCCTGCTCTCTTCCCCTATCTCTCTCCTGCCTGCATACATGACTAGGCCCAGGAGAAGCTCAGGGGGTTGGCCAAAAGGTGATTAGCAGATGGGCCATAGGGCCAAGGTGGAGAGATCCAGCATGGAGAAGGCCCAGGATGAATTAATTAACACCTTTCACAACTCCCTGTAGGGAGGGACAATTCCTGGGACAGGTTGCCTTAGCAACCCAGTGGAGCAGGGCAGGTTTTCCTGATAAGGTTGGAAGAAAGGCTCTGAAGGAATTAGCATTTCACTTCCTCCATTCTCTGGATGTGACCCTTGCCTGTCTGCCTGTCTAATTCTGGCTTCAGTATCACAATATCAGAATACTTCACATGACAAGGCCAACCCCACAGGGAATGGAGAAAGACAGAAGCATTTCCTCTAGAATCAAGAAAAAGGCAAGAATAGCCACTCTCACCATTCCTAGGCAGTACAGTTCTCAAGATTCTAACAAGAGCAATACAGCAAGAGAAATCAGCTAGGAGTTATAGATAGCAGAAGAAGTCAACCTCTGTGTGTTTGCTAATGGCATGATCACATACCTAGAATACCCAGACCCCTCACCAGAAGATCTCCAAAATTAAAAATTAGCATCCAGGGGTCCTCATCCCAGCTCTGCCTGCCACCAAGTAACTCTGAGCAAATACCTTACAAGTCGGTTTCCTCACCTGTACAACAAGGGGCTGCAGTTTACTTTCTAAGGCCCTTCATTAGTCTAACATCCTATGGATTCATCTTTGCCTTCAGTGGTTTATGGTAAAATCTGTGAGCCACAATCTCACTATAGAAGCTCCTTAGGGAGACCCTGCAATGGAGCAGAACCCATGGCCCAGGATGTGATGTTCTCACCTGTCATGTCCTGGGAACTGTGGAAACAGTCCTGGCAGAGGACAGAGTGGCTCTGTTAACCCTGGTACTCTGAGCATATCTGTGTCTCCAAGACCTTGCTTGGAACTCACTAGAATTTCCTTTTAATTCCTACTCAGCACAGCAGCTGGCAATGGTGCCCTCTTGTATCAGAATCCTTTACTCATGATCCAAAGTTCTTGTGAATGACTAAAAGGAGCTGCTGTTGGGCATTGTTGAGGCTTTAGGTGACAAGGAGGCACCCCATGAGTGTCCATGACAAATGCAGAGTCTCTCCATGAGCAGGTGTTGGTAAGTCCAGGGCCAGCCTCCCTAAGTGTCTGGGGCCCTCAGATGCTGCCCATGTGGATGGCTGCCTTTGTCCTCCTTAGCAGAGGTGGTGGGCTCTTGAGTGGTCAGCTTTGATATTGCTGTGGGACAGAGGAGGCTGGTCACCCAGGCATTAGCAGGAAACAGGCTTATTGGCTGCAGCCAGTTTCAGAAGGGGGGCTTTCACCACAGTCCATCAATCCCTCTGAACCCTGACTTCAGAAAGTTTTAGGAATTAATACCCAGTGAGTAGGGGAGGGACTGAGGGGCTCAGCATCTGCAGAAGTCCATGCAGAAGCAGATTTTTCCAGAACAGTAGAACCCAGGCCTGTATGCAAAATCAAGGACACTCTGCGATATCAGTGCCCAGGACAGGGAGGGTCCCCTTCCCTTCCCTCCAGCCTGCTAGAACACAGGACCTGACTAGTGTCCATGGAAAGGCAAAGCCTCTGTGAAGGCCCTGGGTTGCTTTGTGATCACATCCTGCTTCTGCTACTCACCTCAGCCTGAATGCTCTGTGCAGAAGTTCTTGCTGATGGTCTAAGAACAGTCATGGGGAGGTTCTCTTGAGAAACTTCATTAAGATTTTTTGTGGGGAGGGGATGGCACTACAATGTCACACTGCAGCTGAGAAGCCCTTCCCTCATGTGTCCTCACCTGGTGTGGAGAAGGGAGGACAGGAAAGTGTCGTGGTTCTAGGAAGTGGAAGGCACCTCCTCTGGGTGTCCTGACCTGAATTCTAGCTGACCCTGGCAGTTACCTCTGACCACCTCTAGACAGGGTCTGTCAGCTGCTGGGAGCTGGGGGCCTCAGATTCCAGTGTTCCCTGAGGTCCAGGTCAGTACTAAAGAACCAGGAGGTGTAGTCCAATCTGAGATGATAAGTGAGCTACAGAGCTACCTATAATCAGGTCAGGATGAGGGTGATTCATCAATTGTCACAGAGGAGAAATCATCTGGCAAGGTCATCTTTTCATAAGTGCATGTAGTTATTTTGAGGACCTGCTGCCCAGTCCAAACCTCCTGGACTTGTCATGAGGAGGAAAGAGGAAAGTTCCAAGGACACACAAGACTAGGTGGGCAGCTTCTAGAAGTTATGGAGGGTCACTTCCTGTGGGTGGACAAGCTCACCATCCCTGTCTTTCTCAACCACCTGAAGTCCTGAGCCCACTTCAGACGTGGTGAGGGTGTGTGAGCCTGTGGAGCAGTGACCAGGCCTGGTGCCCAGCTTCAGGGGGAGCCAGTGTGTGGTGGTGTCTCTTGTTCTGTGGTCATGGCCCCCAGGTGTGCACTTCTCCCCTCCCACCCCATCCTCCCTTCTCTGTTCTGGAGGCTGTTAGGAAACTCCATTTCCCACGTCCTCCCCATCTGAGCTGCTGCCAGGGAGGCCCAGGGAGTCCTGGGAAGCAGTGAGAGAGTCAGAGCTGCTGCTGCCTGTGAGCAGGCCTTCACTGCCTTTGCTCACAATCATGATTTAAGACTTAAAAGTGCCACTATTTGTTGTAAATGAGCTTTCTCCTGTGAAGATGGCCTCGCTTCATAGCCACGATTTAACCCAGAAATTCCCCAAGTAAAAGAAAACCACCTCATCTATTCCAAGATTTCTCTGATGCCCCATCCCAGGGCAGGTGATTCCCTATGACACCAAA